CATATATGCACATAGATCTATTTCCCCATCCTCATATATAAATATATTTACATATGTACATGCCTGTATTTAGACCTCTATAAATGCCCTTTATAATGCTAACGTAACGTAACCCTTTATAGTGCTAACGTAACGTAGCTCTTTCCTCTATTTCCTTTTACTTTCCTCTTGTCCCACTATCATGATCAGCCTTCATTTGGGTTTCAGTAATTCCTCTCAGTTACATTACCCTTGGTCATGCCCTACCAGGCCTCCTAGACTTCACTTTTTTCATCAAGATCTTTTGACAAGTTCTGTGAAATCTTTGTTCTTTGCCATAAACATAGGGTAACCTATTCATGAAGTGGGTACACCATCCTGCTGACGCAACAACATTTTCAGTGCCTGGTGCTTTTAGTTTGTCATCTTTAGCCATTTGAAGGGCACATAAGCAAATTCCTATGCATGTTACGCAGTAACCATTTTGACAACACGTCATAACCCATTTATGCAATTCAGTCTCTAGAGCCCCATATGAAGTCATTAAACAACATCAAGATTTTTTTGCCTTTGGAATCTTTTCCAAGTCAGCTATCATTGTCTGCCACTCCCTCACTTGTTTTTCATCAACACAAAATTCCCTACTTGCAATACTATTCTTGCTTTCTTCTGCTCTTGACACAACCTTCAGTTTGAAACCAGTTTCGTATGACCTGAGTTTTGTTTTAGTCCAGGATTAGAAGTATTGGCATCCATTTCTAACAAGATTAAAAAAAAAGATTTTGAAAAAGAATGCCATACCATAGCGATTGAATTCTCAAAATATATTGTAAGCCCTACTCCAAAAATAAGCCTGCGTTATAGTTCTTAAAAGAGTTCAATTTACAGTAAAAACGGTGGTGTCCAGGCAACTACTGGTATACATATAAACAAGTAAAATCAATTGGCAATAGAATGCAGCAAGACACATAGACTTCACCACAGAAAACAGATACTCCCCCCTCACTCCAAAAGAATCAAACTCAAAAGACACCACGAGGCCAAAAACACGCTGGATCACCAAGGGAGCTGACAGTAATTCAGGGTTTGGAGAGTTTGGTATAACATTCCAGAATGTGATGACATGACTATGTTTGCATAGAGCAGACTGTGTTAGGGCTCATACTATACATGCTGTGTTACTGTATGTGCTGCATTACTACATCCACTGCCTTACTGCATGTACACACACAACATGTATAGTTTGAGGCCTAATGCAGGCTGATGATATTCCAGAATGTGATGACATGACTGTTTCCGTAGAGCAGCCTGTGTTAGGGATCATAATATATACGCTGCTTTCTGTACGGACTGTGTTACTGCATGTGCTGTGTTACTGCTTACTCAGCGTTACCACATATGTGTGCGAAGTGCTAACATAACACATGCAGTAACACAGTGTTCACGCAACGCAACATGTTCGTATATTATGAGCCCTAACACAGACTACTGTATGCAAGCATAGTAAACACTGGGTCCAGATAGGGGTTAATAAGAAAATAAGAAATAAAATACAGCAGACTAAGTACTGTAAATAAACATTCTGTATATCCAAGACCAGAGATATACCGGTACTTGTATTCAGCAAAGCTTGGGCAGAGCAAGGGAGCGTGACCAGGCACGGGTAAGACTGTAAACATTACATGATTGATCACAGCCCTGGGGAATAGCTGGAGAAGAAGAGCAGGCGCATCCGACATTCATCTGACAAGGATGCGGTGCGCCCCAGGTGCCAGCACACAGAAGAGGGCAGGTTCTTGGCCAGTACGGCACAGACAACACAAAGGCTGCCTGCAAGCAGGAGAAAAGAACGGTGATATCAGCAGTCATCGGACCACCCACAGAGGTGACCGCAGATGAGCGCAAGAGACCAGAGAACAGGTAAGTGGGACCCTCACTAGAGTATAAGGTGAGGGAGGCTTTTTCAGCATTAAAAATGGTGCCCGGCTATCAAAAGATATAGGGTCTGGGGTCTTAAAGGCTTGTAGGCAAACAAGTGGCCATCTAGCTCAGAAACAACAAAGTCCACAGAGAAGAAGCACACGAGCCTG